TAACGCCGTCCAAGAAGCTAGTGGATCTGATCTAGACCACTCATGCTCTAGCTCCTCTAAGGATTCAAACGCATTCATCGAACAGAGGGTCGATGAGTCTGAATGTGTTTGCAGGACGACTGAAGAGTCTGTAGCTTGGGCCATCTCTCGCGAATGTGAGGGTGAATCCACCATCGCGACCTTAGTAGGAACAACTACTATCCCTACTGGCCCGACGTGTTTCCCGGAGCACTGCTTGAAGAACTAGCAATGTTGCTACCAACGGTTTGAGAGGATCCTACTGTCGACCCCATAGTGGGCGGGATCTTCTCGGTGACCTTCCTATTGCGGCACTTGTACATACAAGCTTGCCGTGCCCACCGATCTCTCCACACGTCCTCAGCTAGACCCGCTTTCTCCCATGGAGGAGCATTAGGGTTTGTTTGACTCTTCGACCGGGATCCCCTAGGGCGTCTACCGGTCCCTTTACCTTTTTGTTGGGTTACGGCGGCGACTACTCCACCCTCTGAAGTATCGTCGCCTGCCTCTGCACCTACTCCCTCCTGGAAGTTGCCGTCCAACTCGATGGTTGATCCATCGTTGTCGACAAACATAATGCGACCTTTCGCCTTCCAGTTGGGAGGCAGTGTCTTCTTTCTCCCTTCCGTAGTGGGTGCCTGTCCATGCCCTATCTTTGCTTCTAGGTCTAGGGCCACCTTGCTGAACGAAGGAAAGTTGTGCATATTAATGTTGGCCTTTTTCGCCAACTGGTTCCTGAGCGGCAGAGATAAGGTCCTCAGGTACGAAGTTAGCAGGACCTGGGGGTCATAGCGTACCCCTGGAACACAAATCAAACGCTCTACAGCGTCGGTGGCATCCCTTACTGACTTAAACTGCCGCGTGTGCAGTGTCAGAATCGCGTCAGTGGCCTTTTGAGCCTCCTACGGATCATGCCACCTGTCTTCCACCATTTTCAGGAAGTCCTCCAATTTTTGAGAGGCTRCCCAAGAGCGGAAGTCATGACCGTACCCGTCGAGTTGCACTAACCCACTCAACCATCTCGCTGCACTACCCTCCAGGTAGGAAGCAACCACAAGCACTTCTTCGTGTGGCAAGGTGAGTTTACACCTGACGTAGACTGGCACCGCCCTCAACCAAGTGTCGAGGTCTTCGCCTCTCTTGTCTCCTGTAAAAGGTTTGGGAGCGGCGATGGTCGTCTTTGGAACCCACTGACTTTGTCCCGGTCCCTGTACCAACCCGGGCTGTGGACCCGGCGAYACAGGTTGTTGTGCTAGCTGCTGGGGCTGTGTGCCCTGAGGTTGCACTAACTGCGAGACAGCAGGTTGCGTGGTGACTGCAACCTGTGACGGACTTGGAGTAAACACTGTCTGAACAGGAACCTGCAAACYACTCCCTGCTGTTACCCCTCCTGACAGAGGCATGCCCAGGGAAACGATAGCAACCGATGAAGGGGCTACATATGGGGATACCCCAGTCACCGTTGGAACAGAAAGAGGAGGATATGGCACGGACCAGGCACCAGGCCCTGCTGGTGATGGTGCTGCCTGAGCACGCCCTGCCAATACGGCTAGGCTTTGTTGAATGTCCTGAAGGAGGGTAGTTTGATGCTCCTGCATCTCAATTACGCCTAGCAGGGCCCTCCTAACTACCTTCACATCCTCATCCATATGCGTCAGGTCCATCGTCTCTAACTCCTCTATGTCTGTCCCTCTCTGTTGCATCCTGGCTCTTCTTCTAATCATTATCTCTTTCTCCCTTTTTATCTTTCCTAATGCCTGCTGTAGCTGTGCCTCTTGCAGGGCTGCCTGCTGGATGGCGACATCCTCTGG